GCAGGGCTCGCCGGGGAGCGGCGCGGGGGGAAGAGCTCAGGTCACCCCCCCGCGAACCAACGCTGGCTCTTTTCGGGGAAGTCGGCACGAGCAGAAAAGCAGACAGACGGGCGAGGGGACAGACTGAAGGGGTAAAAAAAAAAAACAACCCACACCTTAGGGATGCTACGATGCACCTGGGTGAGGAAGCAGAGCTGACAGACAGGCTGCTCACGAAGACCTAGCTAACCCAGCTGGCTTGGTGGGGAGGAAGGTGACCTTAGCAGCCGGAGGTGGGGGAGAACATGAAATTGGGCAGGAAAAAAAGATAAAATCCTTCAGTGACTGTATGGGGTCTCACGCTGCTGGGCCCACTTTAGGGTTTGCTCCTGTCCCTTTTTTGCCCTAAACAAGAGCTTTGTTATTCAAGAGTCAATTTAAACTGCTGTATGAAATCCCCTCCTTTCTGTTTGGATTAAAAATGCCTATATGGATGTGGGGGTGGCGGGGGACAGGAAGGCATGAATGCTGATGGCCTTCTATTTTCTGAAAAACCATTTCTTTGGCTGTTCTTAGGACATCTTTTAGTTCTGACCTTCTCCAGCTCCAGAAAGGAGTTTCCATTTGGAGGCAGGCTGTTCCTAAACCTCTCCCCACCTCCATGCTAATTACGTCCTTTCCTCCTTATGCTTTCACTGGGTACAAAAATTTTAGGCAGCTACTGGTAGAAATACAAATTGAATTAAGCAAAGCTCTCTAGTACTTCCCAACGCCACCCTTGCTTAGGCAAAACTGCAAATACTCTGTTGGCTACTAACAATGTCCAAGCTTCTTACTGGTGGGAAAACATTCATACGACCCCTGCAAAGCATGAGGCACAACTACTCCAGGTTACCCTGCATCATGGAAATGCTGCTTCAGCTACAGCAACCAAAAGGCAGAAATCCCCCCCAAAGGACACTGTTAACAGGTACAACCCGGCCACATCACAGGCAACAGCCTCCACTTCAAAACCTCTCCCCCTTCCCAACCCTGACTTCAGCCCTCAGGAGAGGCTGCTGGAGCATTGCTGGGTTGGGAAGCTGCTTACCATCAGCAACTTTTGATGTTTTGGGGTTTTCCTCTGGCATCACGGTGCTCTTGGCGAGCGATGCCCACCTCCGGACAGGGCTTGGGCAGGTGGAGGGCTCTGGCAGCGAGGTCTGTCCTTTGCTCACCTCCGAGTTCATCGAGTTGGCATTAAAATCAGACTCCAGCTCAGAACTACAGGGAAAAAGGGCAAGATGGAAAGAAAGTGGGACACATCAGAAGATGTACAACATTCATTTCTCTTCAGTGAAACAAGCACCAGTTTCAGCCCTGACAGCCATGCGGGCAGCAGAGAAATAGATGTTTTGCAGCCAGAGCTGGCATCCTTATTTTGCTTTTTTCATTGTCGTTATTGCAGGACAATAATTTGCAGTAGGTGCTACACAGCTGAGATATCCCCATTCCTATCGGACTTCTGCTGCCTGGATTCACACCGGCAACTGTTATATTCAGCACCTGGAATCAGACTGGCAGCGAAGGAGGCTTGGGATGAGACACCACACGGCTCGGTTAGCGGGGATGGGCCCTTCTGCCCACAAGGCTGTACCGGGATGAAGAAAGGGAAATCGCAGCATTTGCAATGCTGTAATCAGCCTACAAGCAAGACACAAGGGTCAAAACTCTACACTTTTCAATTTTTTTCCCCCCAGATTTTTTGCACATAAGAGACATGCCGTAGGGAACTCGCAGGAGGCCAAGTCCAGGGCAGCCCACTCCAGCTGTGAAGCGAACTTCATCATAACACAGATGCCTCTGCACTGGCACTGCAGGCAGAAAATAAAGCCAAGGAAGGTGAGGAAGTGCTGAGGGGGTGGGGGATGTCCTCGCCTTCCGCAGTTTCACGGAACCTATGCTGGAAATCATGCAGCATCAGCCGTTTCAACCCCGAGGTGACAGATAACGCTGCGCTGGCATCAGTGGCTTGGACGAGACCTCTGTAAAACTCAAGTATTTTGTTATTGCAAAACTTGGGTATTTTTGTTATTGCACTACCATCTTTTCTTATCATGCACTAGGCGCCTCATGGAGCCACGGGGAAGGTTTTGGACTGCAGCAAGAGGCTGCGCTTGGTCCTGACCCCCCACCTCAGCCAAAGTCCTGACCCCACTTTGGGGTGCTGCGATATAGGACAAGGAAGGAGCCCAGAGGAGAGGGTGAGGATGGCCACAGACCCACCAAACAGGACCTAGGCAAGCTGGAGGAAATTGTGTTAGTCTAGAGAGGAGAAGACTGAGTGAAACTACATGAGCAGCCTTCAAAAATGCAAGTGTTCACTCTCCTTGTTCCCGGGAGCCACCGGGACAGCCCACGGCAGAGCGAGCACAATGAGGTACCTGAGTTGATCACAGAGGCAGATTTTGGAATCCCCTTCCTTAAATGTAATTAAAAATATGCCACACGAACACGTGTGAACAGCACACACTTTGTGACCTTGCTGCTGGGCAGGAGAATGACTCTTTTAGGTGGTAATTAGCACTTTTTCAATTATAATGGGTTTTCTTTCATCTGTAAAGGCCAGACTGCAGGGAAAAGGCACTTTCAGGCTTTCTGATGTGACTCTGTTCCCACCACCATCAATAAGTGTGCTACCATCCCACTCAGCATATTTTTAATGCAAACAATACTGCTAACCTAATTCATAGATTTACTGTGATGATTAATAGCTCTAACTTAAAGAGGAGCTTACACCATGAGTAGTCCTGTTGGCATGGCAGGAGAAAGCTATTTCGTGTTTATGAAGCACTGCCTTGTAAAACGTAAAAATTTATTATAAGAGCCCGAGGCACAGCCCAGGAGGCAGGAGGAAGAAGAGCTAAAGAAAAGGCTGCAGACTGTACAAATCCAGCCTAAATGCCCCGTGGGTAGTACCCACCAGTCCTGCACGCCTGCTTTCCTCAGATCAAATCCGCAGTGCTGGGAGGCTAGGGCCAGCCAGGCAGTGAAGGTGGAAGGTACATGGCGCTCTCGGTAGGCTGAATCAGAGTGGCCTTAAATTTCACTACTCACACATACTTTTTAGGTGTCTTTCAAGCTGTGTTGAACATACATATATATATAAAATATAAATATATGAATTCTTTTATAGTTGAGATCCTGTGTGGATGAAGAGATACCACACTGAGACTGGGCAGAGTGCCACACAAAAGAAAAAGTCCTACCATTAACATTGATTGATATATTTCTGTTTTAAAGAGCAAAATGTTTATTTTCTTTGGCTGGCAAGGAGGCAAGCACTATAGGAGGAGGCTTTTTCTTCTGATCTCTGCTTGATAGGTGGTCATTATTCCCAAGTACCTGAAGTCTGAAGTCAAAAGCTGTGTCACCAAGCTGGTCTTTTTCCCTGTCCCACCGAGTGCCCTGCAGCCAGCTCAGCAGTGCCATTTGTGACTTGCAATTTCTCTCGTCCCCCCTTTTTAGGCAGAGGCTGGCCTGCTGGAGCAGCACAAGGTGAATGGTGCCCGAGCTGCCGCAGCAGCGGGAGGCTGACCTCGCAGCCACTGGCACCAGCCACGCCAGTGACAGATGCCCCTTGTGCCGCATCCTGCTGCTGGCGGGGAACCAGGGGCCTGGCCGTCCAGCTGCGGGAAAGGGAGCTGATCCCTCAGATCGGAGGGATTAGCCGACTTTCATCGCCGCCCATGTGCCATGGGGGCACTGTGAGCCGGAGGGTATTAGTGAGGGATACAAGTACACACTCCGCAGGGGCGTCAGTCAAACAGGTAGGAAACCCTTCCCCAAGCTCTCCATCATCCATGGGAGAAGAACCCCAGAGAGGTTCATCCTTCCCCAGAGGAACACCCAGCACAAATGCCGTTTAGAACCACTGCAGGCAACAGCAGAAAGTTGCCTTTGTAAAAGCGTTGCTCTCTACAAGCTATATGCAACACCACGAATAGGTGGTGCTGCTCTAGAATTTGAATGAGCTTCCTTACAGAGCAATAGCTCTGTGTTTGCAGCAGCTGGCTTCACTTTTTTTTTTTCTTTTTTCCCTCTCCCCCTGTCGTTTTTTAGTTCTCAGTAAGGAAAACTGCTTTACTTGGGAGATACCAATCTAATCTTTAGACAGAAAGAATTCCCACAGAATCCTACCCAGGAAGCCAATATATTCTAATTTGTACGCAGAAATCAGGCTTCTACTGACAGTTCCCCAAGGATCCTCAAATTTCAGTTTTCTTAGGGGTGGACAGGCCCTCAAATGCCCCAAGAGAGGTGCAAACTGCCTGATAATGCCCAAGGTGTGGAGTGACCACATCACAGGATGCACCTTTCACCACAACACACCCACTGCCCTAATCCCTAAACCGTTATTTACTGGTACACAGAGCGCTGAACCCAAGCTGACCAGGGCAATGTTTTTCTCTCTGATTCAGGGCCCTGTGTGGGATGTGAATGTCTGAAGATTTCCTGCAAAGTGAGTCATGTGTCTGGGGGATTAATGGCTGCGGTAAAGAACAATTGTTATTCTGAGCAGTTTTCCTTTTCTCCCCCCCGCTCCGAGTTGCACATACATTCAGTACTATATTTGTTATATTTTTCCTCAGTGTTCCAGAGAAAACCAAGCTGCTTTTATGCATTTCTTATAAGCTTACTAGCATTTTAAAGTACCTGCTTGCATCGCTGGTGACCATGACTCGGATAGCGAGAAGGTTGTGCTCGGCCATCTCCTCCTCAGGGATGACCCTCACAGTGGCCCACTCAGGGGAAGGGGGTGAGAACCAGCTCTCCAAGTCAGGGCGGTCAGGGATGTTCTTCGCCTTCTTCGGGGAGGTGGGCTCGTCAGCCACGGGCAGACAGTGGTCTGGGAAAGCAAAGGTGATAGCGGGGTGTTAGGGGAAGAGTGGGGCAAATCTTGCCCTCTCCTTTGGGTGGTCCTGGGCCACTAGTGGTTTGCCACAGCAGTTTCCACATAGGGCTCCATGCTGTCCCCACAGCACAGGCGAGGTACATGCACCAACAGGCTGGCACAGCAAGAACATCCCTCAAAACCCAGTACAGCCCTGCCAGGGTTCATCAGCTTGGATGCAAGGAGGAGGAAACTCCAGGGGCAGCCTCAGCTTTTGCAACTGCAGGTCCTCGCTCTGCTCGGTGGGACAGCCATCAGGCTGGGTGCCTGGTGGCAGGGGTAACAAAGACACATGCCAGCCACTCAAGTAGGGATTTATGGTCTCTTTTTAGCCCCCAGATGTCTGTGTGTGTGGCAGGAGGCAGATGGACCAACCAGGCTTTAGTTGCTAAAACTTCAGCATTTTCTTGCAAGTTTAGGTCAATTTAGGACAGCAGGACTGAGAAAAATAAACACAGGCTCTTGAGAAAGTTGGGTTTTTTTTAGTATGTACAGCAAATATAGCCACTGATTTGGGAGAAGCAGCATCATCACAGCAGTTAAACACCACCATCCCTGAATTTCATTCAGGCAGGAGGAATAAATAATAAAGCCAAGTTTCCCTCGCTCACCCCAGGTGATGCAGACGGAGCCAAAGACAGGAGATCATATCTCCCTGTAAAATCTTTAATTTCTGAGCAGCCTCATTTACCCACAGCCTCCTGCACAAATACAAATGTATCAGCCATGCAAGTTCCCTGGGACTCGGTACAGAAGGGACAAGTTACAAGCTCCAGGAGTGTGGCTTTGTTTGGTTCACCTCCCATGTGTAGTGCTTTTGACACATTTAACACTGTTGCTTCTAATTTACACCTGTATAAGTGGAAAAAAAAAAATCAGACCTGGGACACAGTTTGTTTTCTCATCTATTAGAGCACTCTACCTAGTAAACATCAATTAAACTCCAACTTCAGCTCCTCCATGTATTGCAGGAGTCCACTCACCCTGTCCTTCATTTTGCAAGGGTTTTTAACTCAAATGCCCAGTGCTTGCATGGCTTGAACATGGAAAACAAACCTGTTGGGAACAAAAATGCTACGAGCAGATCCTTGTCCCGGACGCATCAGAAGGACTACACACACCTCAGAGCCCAAGTGCTGGCCCACAGGACCTTCAGGAGCAGCAATTCCCCCGGCCATCGCACACGACCGTTCTCACACCTGAGAGACAGCGGCCACCGGGCGCTGCTGCTCCTGGGAGCCGATACAGCAGGTATGGCAGGTGCACACTCCACACTGTGCCGAGCTCTGACCCCATCTCAGATCCCCTGGTCCATCCACCACTACCTCCTCCACTCTGGTACCATTTCTGCGGAGCTGTGAAACAAGGTCCTCAAAACAAGCTGTGACAGCAGAGCTACGCCTTTATTCTGCATGATTCAGGTAGGTCCCAGGCTCCCCCCAAAAAAGAAAACCGGTGTTCTGACTTTCTGCACCTCTCCCAGTTACTGTTTGTGCTCACCCCATTTCTACATTTAGAAATAGCCACCACTGAGGAAAGCTCAGCTGCTGGTGGCAGGGATGACTGCTCTATAGGTACAACTCTTGGTGCTGGCCAGGTAAAGCTCCCTTATTCGCACTCACAGACTGAGTAATATGGCTTTGCAGTGGTTTTTTTTTTTCAGTAGTTTTACTGATTATGTTTCTCCCAAGTGGAACAGAGTATTGCACTTTTGAAAAGGCTATGGTGAGCTCTGGTTTTTCATGCTTCACAAAAGTCAATGTATTTTCTTGGCTTGAAAACTCAGGACTTCACTGGTCACAGAGTTGTTTTGTTGGGTTGGGTTTTTTTGGGTTTTAGTGTTTTTTTGGTTTTGTTTTTTTTATTATTCTACTTCTATGTACAAGAAGCCAAGGAGGAAGGAGGAACAGCTCACTGCTTCTCCAGAGCAAGATACTCCCATGCGAAAATACATGCTCAGGCTCTATGTCCAGCTCACTAGCACCACAACAGCCATGTGTTTCTTGATCACAGAGATTTCATTTCCTTTGGGATATGACAGAAATTCATCCCCCTCTGATTTTTATGCCTGACTTCTGCTTTGGCCCAGCCAGGCCACCCACCCCAAAGCCGCTCGTGGGCAGTACACAGCAAGCCTGGCCGCGTTTGGGTGGCAGCGTGGGAGTCTGCAGGTCAGCAAGGCATGGCTGCCCGCAGCAGGGCATGGCTGCCCTTCCTTGCACAGGGCCACGAGACCCTCCTGGGAAGGGCCCACTCTCCCACAGAGCTGGGCTGGACCACAACGTGCCATTTCTATTCTCCAGAAGCAGAAGAGAAAGTAGAATTGTAAGCCAGTTTGTAAAAATATAACTCCTTCCACTCAGCTTTCTCCTTAAAAAGATGCTGCATTTTATATGAAAATCAGAGCAAGCAAAACCCCACAACAGTTTTCCAGCTCTGCCCATAAAATTTGTACCCATGCTGGCCATAAGCTCTGCCGAAGGTCACTGTAAGCAGCTGTTGGAGAAAGCAAGTTTTGCCATTTGCTTGCACACTCAGTATGTATTCCCTCCCCGTCTCACACATTAATGCTTTCCCCACCACACTGACAGGAAAGAGGAGAAAACATGTTTATGACTAACAGACACACAGCTGGTGAGCATCGAAACCCACAGACAGACAGACTACCTAAAACAATTCCCAGCATGGTTCCTGAATGAGAACAGATTTCAGGTCAACAAGTCCCTCTGCAATAGCCCATTACACACCCAGTTTTAAAATAATTATAGACATAATAGTCAGAGTTGGTGAAGGACCTGAGGATGTCATCCAGGCCACTGGATGACAGTGACAAATGGCACTGTCACCTCTCTCTGAAAAGTAACATTTCCACACTTTTTTTTTTTTTTTTAGGTATCATGGTATCGCCCCTTCTTGAATTCTGGATACCTAGACATCAACCCTCTCAGGAATCTGTTAGGCAGCTGAGCCCTTTCTGAGCAAGGTAAGTTTGTATTCACAGGGATACTAATCAAGTTTAAGATCAGCATGCTGCATTAGCATCCACTCCACCTAGTGAATGGTGTCCCAGCCCATGGCAGGGGGATTGGACTAGATGATATTTAATGGTCCCTTAAAGGTCCATTCCAACTCAAAACACTATGATTAGGAAGCAAAACCATTCCTTACTAACATATTTAATCAATATTTGTATTGTGACATATAAAATTGAATTAATTATGTTGCACTCAACTCCATAAAAGCAGAAAGAGACTGGACTGTCTCGGTGTTTCAGTACATGGGACACCCACATGTGCACATTAACTCAAACTGGGTTACAAGTGCTGCAGGACATTCAAAAAGATTAAAGCTCCTACCGCTGTTTCTCATCGCAGGGCTGCACCCTGGCTAACAGGCTCAAACACAAGACAAAGATGTTCCTGATGCCCAAGTATCAGGGGTTTTTTTGAAGGGTCTGATGACATTATGCAATTTGACCAGTCTCTCCTAAAAAGCAGCCCTTGCCACCGCACCAGACCGAAACCCCGACCCTGTCTGCAGGCGCTGCGCGGTGTGGTGAAACACAGCCCAGCAGAGCACTTTGAAATCTCTCCCTTGCAGGAGCCCAATCCCCAAGAACAAGAGGGGTACGTCCAAGTACAGAGAGCAGCAACAAGCTGCTGCTGGACTTGTGTAAATGCCGCAGAGGAAGAATGTGGCCAATTCGAGCAGGAGCCTGAAGGCTCCGTAGGCCTGGAGTCTGCCTGGCAATTATTATATAAAAAGAAATCTGGGACTTCTTTAAAGCTCTTATTTTGCGCAAAAAGATAAGAAGGGCTGTCTGAACTGATTTCTCCTGAAGGAGCCCAAAGGCTGAGTACTTACACAAAGGTGAGGCATACATTTATGTGCCTCGGCAGATGCAAGGCTAAGCGACAAGCAGCCCTCATACCTCTCCATTCCAGCTGCGAGTCTTATAGCTCTCCCTGCACCCTGGACAGCCACCCGTCCTCGCAGCACCGGCAGTCAGGTCCTCGGCAAGATGTTGGAACGAGGCTGAGTGGGAGGACTCCGATTTTTTTGGGAATCTGACTCCAGGGTGGAAACCATGCTCTATGCCTCAGTACCCTGATTCCTGTCACACTGCAGGTCAAGAGTTAAGTACCCTGGACCGGCATCTCTGGTGACCACTGCAATTAACCCTGGTCATGCACCAAGTTGGCCGATAAACTGGCCCTCGTGGAGGAGGCAGACGGAGCCTCACTGGAGGCTGAGCCGTGCTCAGGCAGGGGATAAGCCAGGGTTGTTTGGCACTTCTGGGCACATGCAGCAGACCCCCTGCCATCCCTGCCCTCTGGGGAAACTCAAGGTCTTGCAGAACATTCAGATCCTAAATCCAAGGTGGCAATTCCCACATTAGCTCCAAGATACCGAATTTTGCTGGCGCTTGAGTCCTTTCACAAATCTGTGCCTGGCTGTACTTACCATGTTATCCCACTTCTTCACCAGAAGACATAAAAATGGCCTTACTGCTATTCCCAGAGGGGAAGAGGCACATGGGTGGACCAAGCCACTCGTCTGGGATTACCCGGGCAGCCTGTGACACAGCAGACACCTCCATGGCCAGCCGGTGCTCTCGCTCCCCAGGTTTCCTCCCCAGGACAAGTAGGAGATTTTCTACTAGAAGCTGGGAGACCGAGTCAGAGGATTTGAACTTTCCCAGATAAACACGTGCAATGTAAAAGCTAAAGAGGCATCCACTCTGCGGGACAGAAAAGGGCAGAGCCCTGCTTCCTGCCGATGCCACCGGTGCCATGCCCCTGGCCTCCACAGGGCAGCACCAGCCGTTCGCAGAGGAGAGCCCAGTCCTCAGGAAACAGTCACTCAAAATAGCATTTGTGCAAGATCTTACTTCACTTCCATCACGCTCACTTCATATTTCCTTCTCTCTCTGTCTCAGCATGCTAAAGACCTCCAGCAGTGAGTACGCCTGCTCCGTAGCGGTTTGGACTGGAGTCTCTACTAATCCTTTGCCAAAACGTTCAAATAATGTACCCGGGGGGGCATGGACAAGCCGTGCCTGGGAAGGCGTTAATCTCAGGCCGCAGCCAGCGGCCCAGATCTGTCACGCCAGTACGACCGCAGGGGCAGGCAGCACACGCCACAAGTATCCCGCAGCGCGCCGCTGGCCGGTTAAAGCGGAAACGTCCTAACAACTACCGACTCGCATTTTTAGGTGCTGAAGTCTCCTAAGCTGGTCAGTATGAGCGAGCCAGGGAGCTAACGCGCCCATTTGCAAGCCCTCCGCGACCTTCGGCGCTCTCCTGCGCAGGGCTGAGGGGGAGCGAGCAGGCCGCGCGGCCCTCCCGGCCCTGCTCCGGCACCAGCAGCAGGTCCCTGGCAGCCTGCGCAACCCCGTGTTCATGGTGTCTGTTTTATAGACTGCGCTTACACAACTGTACCTTGTCTGTCTGAAGGTCTGGCGGGATTAAGAGAATTTAAGTTGTTAACCTCCTCCTTACTGCACTGACATCCACAGATGATGATCCTTCCCCATCCATCTCGCTGCCCCAGTGCTTTGTTTTGGCCACACTATTGCTTTCTTCATTAATCTCCCAATTCTCCTCTCTCCACTGCCAAGCACACTGCCTTGCCTAATTTACCCCCGTACCTCCTGGCTGCCCCTCCCCAGCAGCCCTTCTCAGGGTGATGTCCCTACTGCTACCTGCCAGCCCGCAGGCTCCCGGGTGCTCCCTCCCCTCCTCTTCCAGCCCCAAAGCTCAGCAGCCCTCACCCAGCTACAGGCTGGCTCTGCTATTGCGCTGGGCAGCTTCTGGGGCCAGGGCCATCTTGCTGGCTCCACGGCAGGTGGACCCGGCCAGAGGCGAGGGCTTGGAGGGGCTCTGCTTGTAAAAGCAAGAGAACAGCTCTGCGGTACCACACACAAAAGCGGCCTCACACTTCCTGTTCCTAAACCGTGTGACAGAACCATAGATCCCAAATCGAGAGCGGAGCCAGGCTGGGTTGAAGCGCGCCGGCCAGCGACTGCACCTCGCCACCGGGCACAGGGCGGGCAGGAGGAGGTGAGGCTGTTCTTACCCTCACCAACCTGAGGGCACTGAACAGATCGACAAAGGGCACGCTGCACCATGGCGTGGTGTGGGAGACCGGCCTTCAGAGAATGTGCTGCCCGCCCAGC